CTGGCCAACAAATACATAGATACGATCTGAATTCAATAAAAACTTAGAAACGCTTAAAAAGAAGATTTGTACATTCAGACATGCATGAATTTTTCCAAAGCCTGCTTTAGAAAAATTTTTGGGGATTACTCCGTATTATTCTAAAAATATTACCAATTTAAAAAATATATATATATATTTAAAAACCTTGAAACAGTCTTTTTTAGATACCTAAAATATCATTTTGGTGGCCTATCCATATTTTTATACACATCAAAAACATGCTCCGATATACATATAACAATATTTCCAAATTAATTGTAAACACTTCGCTAAACTATGTCATGCCTTCTGCAACAGGTTTTCTCTTGGGCGATTTAAAAGAAAAATACTCACTAAACTTAGAAAATTGTATCACTTTAAAAATAGAATAAAATATAGTACAGTTTACAAACGGCAAATGATAAACTTTATTTTTTTTGCTCTTTTATTATTACGAAATCTCTATTAGGGCATAAAATGTGATGATACCAAAATAGCATCGCTGAAATTGTACAAGTTCATATCGTTCCGCGATTTTATGGTCAATATACGGTTTCTTGCAAGACCTAGAAACTCTTGAGAAAACACATTAATACAGCAAAAACGGAAAAATGTATAAAAGCATTGCGCTCTGTCCATGAGCGGCGAAAATGTCAAGGCTTTACAGGAAATTAAATATTTTTCTATTGGCACAGAGCTCACGAATAGTGGAATAACTCTTCAGTATAGAGGTATGCCTCAAATTCACCCAGCAACTTCTTCTTTATCTCCATTATTGTTGAAAAGAAGGGGGTGCCACTGGTTCTGTATCAGTGGATAAAAACTAGATTAGAAAAACAGAGCATGCAGTATGAAAAAGGTATGTGTATCTCATTTTTTTGGTTAGGAACGGGCCGCTATAGTCTTTCTTAGCCTTTTCAGCTGCACTTGAGGAATCAGGGATCTGGGGATTAAGTGAAAGGAATAAAAGTAGGCATTTGAGAGGATGCTACTGATCTAGCATTTGTCTATGGTTATAAGAAAACTGAAAAAATTCATAGCGGGTCAGGAGGCAGTGGGGATCGAACCCACTATCTTCTAAAGAGGCAGATGTGTTGCTGCAGAGATAGTTCACTCGGTGCAAGTAGTATAATCGAATAATCAAGAAGAGGAAGCAAAGTAATTCGGTAGAAGAGTAGGAAACTACCAAATAATAGGAATGTCTTTGCTATCATAATATAGCTCTCATAAACCATATAAAATAAACGTAGAATGAAGGAGTAAAGGAAAGAAGTAGGTATATATAGTGACAATCCAAAGACAATAATCAAATCTAATCCAAGACAGAAGGTAGAAGCAGTCAGTATAATATTGACGATAGTAATTAGGAAGTAAGTATGTTGTGTGGTAGTGAATACTTTTATTAGTTTCTGTTTATTTTGTCCAAAATTTGTTTTATTTTTTTATTCTTTTAAGGCCTGACGATGAGTTTGAATAAATTAATTGTGCACAAGACTATATCTTTTTGTTTTTTGTTTCATTTAATTTATTTTTATTTCTATTTTCTTTTGCCCTAGTTGAAAACAAACGCGCGCGCTCAAGATATTTCCAGTTTAAAAGGTTTATAAGAATGCACAAAAGTGTTTATTTTAAAACCGTAAAGAGCGTGGCGGTAAGCGAGCCCGAGAATATTTCTTCTCCGAAAAAAAGGACATTTTTCACATCTGAAACTGAAAATCTTCGTGAAACACTATTATTTTCGCACGCCACAAAGTAACCCTACTTTGTGGCTTTCATATTGAATCATTTTAGCATATAAATTTTAAATTTTTAGAAAATATGAGCGTCGAATGTTTTGGGGGGCCGCTTTTCCTTAACGTCAATTTATTTTGAAATTGAGTCGAAATTGTTTTTCATAGAGGTGTATACAAGAGTGATTGCATATCGGGCGAAAATGAAGTATTGTGGGGTAAAATTGGACAGATATTTGAATTTTAATCTAATATCTAATGAAAAAGATTGATGAATAAGATAAGGGAAGGACGGATTTTTCGACGAATGAATGTCAAATAGAAGTTCATCCTGAAAGTGCTGGTATCTGTTGGTTATTATAAACAAATACAAATATCTTCAACTGTAAAGTCCGACCTATTAGGTCTTGGTGGGGATTGCAAAACAGGTTTGATATTGGCGAAAAAATAAAATAGTCTAGGACATAAAATAAAATTTTTCATCGACTGTCGGAATTTGACCAAATATAATTTTGTAAACTGTGGCCGCGAAATAATCCTTTTATAATGTGTTTGTATTATTATTATAATTATACCTTTATGTGATTTCTTAGGAATAAGGTTTGTAAATTAAAACTTCAAAATACTGTTTTATAATATAATAGCTTTCGGCCCGTAATTGGACGGCCTTCTTCAGTGACTTTTATTTTATTTAGTTACTAATTATTTTTTTTATACAGTATAGGCGTATAGGTTGGAATAAATTCGATATTTTTCTGTCTAACAGTATTGTTACAAAATGCTTCCACAGGTTAATTTTTATTTTCAACTACACATCATATGTTACTATTGGATGTAGTTTTATATTTTCAACTATCAACTTAATTTTGATTTTCTACTATAATAAATAAAATCTTTTTGTAGTTTTATATGCCAAGATGTTAATTTAATTTTAAAATACACTCACTTTCAAGTCTTTTTCAAAAATAAAGTATATTATTATATCTTAATAATATTTTTCTGACGATAAAAGCTACTCATTTACAATTTATCTCATTTTGGTCTAAGGTTTTAATTAATATTTGGAAAAGGTTTTCAAACTTAAATAAGTACAAGACCTTTTGAAAGTGAGTGTACATAAATAAATTGTTATTGATTTTATCTATATTCATTTAATTTTTTATTGCCCTTTTAATGTAGATAAGTACGATTCGAAAAAACGGCACTAATAAAAGTAATATATTTTTGTTTGTTTTTAATATTCCATATTTCTTTATAACACCACTGCCTAAAGCAAGCCAAAAGCTACGGTTTGTTAGAACAGTGCACGTCAGATTTAATAGAAGTGGTTTGTTAGAATATAAATCAATTCAACTTGTTCTGTTGATACATGCTGTGCAGGTCAAAATGAGTTTCCATGAATTAAATAACACGATAGTAGCGATTATTTTAATGGAAGAAGACGAAGAAGAATTATTGTTAGTTTTTAAATAGTAATTATTTTTAACTATATCGTCTTTGAAACTTTCTGATTTTCACTTGATAAAGTGCGGGATGCTCCTTTACCATATTAATTAATATTTCATCTTTTTCAGAAGACAATTTATTGCTTTATATATAACACAAATAATTATTTTAACCTTATTTCACTTAACAGTTTACTGTTTGTTCAGCTGAACGAGTGCGTCCAAATCAAACTCAAATTGATTTCGACGTAATCAGTCGACGAACACTGCTGTCTGCCTAACTATACTGACTCTAAAAAACTATTTCCATAGCATTAACTTGTTAGATTTCAGAGGACGTGTGCAGCGCTTGACAGACTGTGAGTTCTGCGTCGCGCACTGTTCTAAAAAACCGTAGCATTACAAGAATGCATTTCCGTAAAAAATCCCGTAACAACCAAAGAGCCTTCACATATGATTTACGCCGACTGTACCGACTAATTTGCCACAAATCTTAACTGTCCACATACAATATATTTTTAATATACAAGGAGGGCACTTATGGAATTCAACTATGGAGCACTGCAACCTGCAGCCAAGGGCGTATCCAGCTCACAAAAAAAGGGAGGCCGCTTTCTGAATGCAATATTTTAAGGGAAGGATCTATCTGAATTAGGGTGTGGTTCAAAGCCCACTTGTACTGAAGCTCTAGGCTTATTGTAGCCCTCATAGTTTCTATCCCATCAGATTGATTTTCTTGATGAATTCAAGAATATGTCTGATGGGCGCTTTCGCGATTTCTTCAGGTTCCGGATATTGTACCCCGAAGTACCATTCCCTTTCCCATTTAAGGTTCCGGCAGTGGCATAGTATGTAAACAGGAGTTTCGTCCTCCTCTTCACATATTCTACATAGGGAGTCATCAGATATCCTTAAGAGATTTAGGTGTCTTCTAAGGCCGCAGTGTCCCGTAAGGAGTCCTATTACGGCCTTGAGTTCGCTTCTGCTAAGGTTTAGCAGTTGATGTTGTCTGCTCGTGGATGGCCCCTCTATAAATATTTTGGACTGTCTAAGTCCAGGAAGTTCCATCCAGAGCCTATGGTGTTCTCTTTTTATTTGTTCCATTAACACCCATTTAACATGTTGATATGAGATACCACACGTGGGTTCTGGTCCAATAAGAGTTTTTTCCGCTTTCTTCCTTGCTAGGAGGTCTGCTTTCTCGTTTCCAAACACTCCCTCATGTCCTGGCACCCATTCAAAGGGGACCTTGTTATGTTCTGCCAGAGCCTGGAGGGACTGTTGGCAATCAAATATTGATTTATATTGTACTTCTACCCTTTTCAGTGCTTTAAGGGCTGCCTGACTGTCTGTCATGATAACGATCTTCTTATCTCTAAGAGAGTCATTTAGCATGACTTTGGCGCAGGCATTTATTGCTGTTACTTCAGCCTGGAAGACTGTTGTCAGTGATCCCAAGTTCAAACTAATTGTCCTCCCTGAGTTCACATGGTAGATCCCAGCTCCTGTGCTGTTTTTCATTTTCGAACCGTCTGTATACCAGACTGATTCGAAAAACCCACTGGCGATGAATGCTAAGCATAGCTAATCCATTCAATCTATTTTCACTAACAGTGCTCCTTAGCCATGTTTTGATTCTACGAAGAGAGATAAAAGAACAATCGATAGTGCTAGTGGTATAAGGTTGCAAAAGAAATATCAGAAGAGCCTTTCTAATATTCGGAAAAATCATTTCGCTTTTTCAAAATCTCGGTGATGTCTGGTGTTTCCTGTACCTTATTCCATATTTTTAACCATAATTCACCTTCTCTCCTTCAATGCCTTTCAAATTGTAGAAACTTTCAGGAGATGACGTGCTTTTTTTCCATTCTTTCAATGAAATATGTTTCATGTTACCCGGATGAAAATAGGTTAATGAAAATGCAGGAGATTTGTCTGTGGAAAATCTTACTTGTAGAGATCCAATGATTGAATCTAAGTAAGGAATTGTGGGAGATGTTTTCCAAAAGTCGCCTGAGTTTTTGGCTGGAGCGTTGTTTCTATGCTTTTGACGGCCAGCAATAAGAGCGACAGTTATATCAACATTCAAAGGCTTTGATATATCGCCTGCATCTTTTAAAATGTCAGCTGTAAAGTTCTCTGCATTCTTCCGATGATCTCTTAGCATTTCAACAATAGTTTGAATATGCTCGTTGCCTTTAACTATATCAAGTGTCTTCATTTGAAGTATATTTGCTACGGGTTCCAAAATGGCGGAATACTTAGCAATTAATGATGCTGATACAATAAACGAAGATTTGCATGCCACTGCGTGCATTTGATATGCACTTGTTCTTGTCAGTCCATTTCCCCCCTCAGCTAATGTCTCTAGTGCATCAACTACGACAAAGTGTTTCTTAAAAACACGAATGCTTTTATATTTACACAATTTAGAAATGTTTGCAATAAGTTTGCGTCGTAAAACAGACTTGCGGAAAAATTTAATTATCTCCTTGATAGTTCAAACGCTGTTTAGTGTTTTCGGGATAACATTCAAGTCGTTCACGACAAGATTAGGCTTGTGTGAAGAGCAGTGAAAGTAGAAAACTTTTTTATACTTTTGCCTCCAAATTGCTTTTCCAGACATGGTAGAACATCCATCAAAACCTAACCCCACACACTTATCAGGATCTAGGTCTAAGTTTGTCACAAAATCATCAATGACTTTGGCAATACTTACTGCATTAAGTCCCTCAAGATCTACTAAGCCTAAGAATTCTTCTTTGATTTCGTTGGTATTTTTATCAAATAAACTTAATCTGTTCCTTGCCAGATATATCTGCAGTTTTGTCATTGAGAATGCTATAAGCACAAGCTTCTTTAACATTTGAGATTATTTGTTCCTTTATTGAAGCGCCACAGAGATCAATTATTTTATTTTGAATGATAGGTGATCGTTTTTTGGTCCGTGCTGAAAATGGTGATGCATAAATGTCACAAGTCTATAAGCACGCCTTCTTTCAAATTTTTGCCTCTTAGAGCTAAATTATGTGTTACGCAAAAAATGATACATGAAACAATCGAGGACAGCACTTTTTTGTTTTTCTCTATTAATTGGTGTAAAGATTGGTTTAGTTGGATGTCAACTGGAACGACTTCCATTAACATTTTTGCAAATTCCAGTGCAGCTTTGTGTCCCTGTGTTAATACATGTGATTTGTAATAATTGTTCACGTCCTTGTATTTAGTGAAGGGTCTGATAATAAAAGATCCCCAATCACCTCTTATCATGCTGGCTGACGGCGGAAACAGAACACAATATTTACAAAAAGCACCTTTGAGCCGTCTTGAGTAAGTTAACCATGGCGAATATATGTCCAGCCAGTGATGATTGAATTTCCTCTTGAGGCGTTCAGCATCAGAGGCAAATTCATAGTTTTTCGAGGGTATCCAGCTTTTTCTCAACTGGTATAGTGGTCGCCAAGCCAACGAATTTTCCAATATCATCTTCTTGACAAACTTTGTCTTTAGTTTCAATTTCACTGTCGGGCACCATAGTCTGAACACTTTGAATTATAGAAGAAGGTCCTGCGCCTACAGTCGCAATGTCAATGTCTGGAGTAGAGTGACTTGAGTGTAGCTAAACTTACACTTCCTCTTCTTTTTCCTCATCGCTACTGCTGCTGGCACTTTTATTCGTTTTAAATTAAAAAAAATAATAGTATAATAGTTACCTAACAAGGAATAAGGAAACGTGTTAAGGTTTATGTTACACATACGAATTTCATATTTTTTAAATAATAGTTTATATTAGTAGTATTTATAGTAATATTCAGTAGGTATTTTTTTTTAAACATTTTAGAATTTACAGTATTTTTATAATTAATAATTTTTATGATGACGTTACTAATTACTATACGAAATTAATTCGATCATCGCATCAATGTATAAAAAGGTTTCAGGTTTTTCAAAATGCACGTGAAAGCAAACCCTGGCGCCTTAATCAAAATACCGTGTAAAGCGAGCGAGAGATTCGCGAATGTCGTCCAGCTGGGGTAATAAAAACGTTAACAAAGTTGTAACAACCGGGAAGCCAAAAGACCAACACTTATCACTAACCAACTAGCCTAAAGATCATTTGCAACTACTGATAGGTCCTTAGCTACTGTTGTTAATATTCTATTAAGGGATTAAGGCAGCATTCTCACCAGCCAAAGGGTCCTGGAGTCCAGAAGGAACATCAATTCCCCAGTGGAAAATAAAAATAATACAAAAAAAAAACAAAAAATTATCCCTTAATAGCAAACTCGAGCGGTTCTTAGCAACTAGTTCAAGACTCTTTTAGTCCTTAGGGAATAGAAACGCCGAGGCTTTTCAAGTGCTCGGAATATTTGCCTGGTTTTAAAAGGGGGAGGAGATATTAATAATAAGTATTAAAACATTAACATATGTATATACTTGGCTCTTCTATTGGCCTAACAAAATCGGTAGTGACAGACCTAATCAAAGAACATTCCCTTGTGAAATTCAAGGAAAGATGGGATGAAACAAGAAACTGCAGAGTTGCCAGGGAACTTTTAAGTTATCCTGACAACACTGCAGCAAACAAATACTTGACTATGACTAGACAGAATCTGCGCCTAGTCACAGGCATTCTGACTGGTCATTGCCAAGAACGAAAGCAAATATAGCAAATATAGACCAAGAAGCTAAAAAAACCCATACAATAGACCAGAAAAGTTATTTAAATTATCCTAATTTAAAAACAGATTTAAACAATGAAAAATGGGACCATATGTACAAACTAAACAATATAAACGAAACATTCGACTATTTTATAAATAAAATAAACTATTACATAGATAAAAATACAAAACTGGTAAAAATAAAAAATAATAAACAAAAAATAAGAAAACCATGGATGACTCAGGGTTTAGCAAATTCCATTAAAGAAAAAAATAAACTATACTTATTAATTTTAAAAAAACCTGAAAATAATGAAATTAAAGAAAGATATAATAGGTATAAGAATAAAATCAGATCCTTAATAAATATAAATAAAAAAAGTTTCATGAATAATTTAATAGACAAAAATAAAAACTCATCTTCAGCCTTGTGGGACTGTGTCAACAAAATCTGCGGCAAGAAAAAACCTAACACAAAAATTGAAAAAATTATAAAAAACGGACAAGAATTAACAGATGAAAATGATATTGCAAATAACTTTAATAGCTACTATATCGAATTGGGACAGAACCTTGCAAACAACATATTACCTCCAGATGACTTTGAGGAACAGTTAGACATACTTGAAAACACTATGTATTTACACCATGTAACTGAAATAGAAATAAATCATGTTATAAATACATTAAAATCTAAAAAAGCGCCCGGATGGGACAAAATAAGAGCTGAAACAATTAAGGAAATTAAAAATGAAATTTTACAACCCCTAACCTATCTAATAAATAAAAGCTTTAATGACGAATGCTTTCCAGAATGCCTAAAAATTGGAATTATCAAACCGCTCTATAAAACAGGTGACAAAACGTTGACTCAAAATTATCGACCTATATCATTGTTGTCAATTTTTTCGAAAATATATGAAAAAATCCTTAAATTGAAAATAACAAAATTTTTAAACAAATTCAAAGTCGTAAATGATAATCAGTATGGGTTTAGAGAAAAAAGGTCGACGGAAGATGCAATACATGCTCTAATCTCCAAACTATACCATACTTTAGATACAAAAACACCTGCAATTTGCATTTTTGTTGACCTATCAAAAGCGTTTGATACGGTATGTCACACGCGTTTACTAGAAAAAATTAAATGTTATGGATTGCGTGGAAAAATATATAATATTTTAGAAAGTTATTTAAAAAATAGAACGCAGTACGTGAACATCAATGGAGTATTCAGTGATCCAAAAACAATTACCTACGGCGTTCCGCAAGGGACTGTACTGGGGCCTCTTCTATTCACTCTATATATAAATAGCTTGATGACATTACATACAAATGGAGAAATAATCAGTTTCGCCGATGATACTGTCATAACTTATAGCTCAAAGATCTGGCACACGCTAAAAACAGAAATTCAAGATGATTTTAAAGCAGTTAAAAAATGGTTTCAACTCAATAAACTAACATTAAATACCGAAAAAACGAAATATTTACCATTTACCTCTTATGTAAATAATTTGCCGAGTTTTGGTCCAATACATATAGATGACAAAACTCAAATACCTGAAGCATCGTCAATTAAGTACCTAGGTATTACTTTAGATAGGCATTTGAAATGGGATCTACAAATTAAAAATATTACTCATAAACTTAGAGGTTTGCTACATAAATTTAAGTACTTACGCGACTTTTTAAATGAAGATCAGCTGAAAACTTTATATTTGTCTCTGGTACAATCGCATCTTACTTATGGTATTATTGGGTGGGGTGGTGTGGCAGACTGCCATTTAAAGCAGTTAAAAAATATACAAAAATGGCTAATCAAGCTTATATTTAAAAAACCTGTAACTTATCCGAGTGACGCATTATTCAGTGAAAGTACATTTTTTGATATGAGACAGCTATACTGCCAAAACATTCTTTTAAACATTTTTAAAAGAAAAATCCAAGTAACTTCTCCTCAACATAATTACCCTACTAGAGGTAAATGCACTTACCTTCCAATAACTTCAAAGACTGTTGGTCAACGCTGTACCAATTATTTTGCTCCAAGATTATCCAATATGTTACCAGATTACATTAAGGATATTAATAAACTTTCCTGTTATAAATATGCTATAAAAAATTGGATAGCAAGTAATAACAGATATATTTTTAATAGCCTAATTGATTTAAGATATCTAAAATAATTTATAATTAATAAATTTTCCACTTTAAAAATAAAAAAAAAATAATACTTAATAACTATATTTCATTATGAATTAAATATCGAATATGTCTATATTTTATCTCCCTGTTACTATTTGTTCTACTGTTTGCTTATTATGTTCTATTATTTGTTTTATTACTTGTTTTATGTTATATGCTTTGTTACTTGTTTCATTATTTGTTTATCATGAATTTATCTATTTATTTATTATTCTATATCGAATTTTATTTGTGTTTAAAAAAAAAAAAAAAAAATTTTTAAATATCCTAGCTCGCACACAGGCATTACAATGCCTCAGCAAGTTACCAATGTTTATATTTAAATTAACTATGTAATTGTAATTTATATTTCTTTTTTTGAATAAACATTATTATTATTATATTATTATTATTATTATTATCTCCATATCATGGGGCTGTCCCGAGAAGGAGCATCAAATGCTCTTATTGGCCCAGAACCCTTCTGTGGTGTAACAAAAACAACTATCAGAACATGCACAAAGCAGT